TATTCTCTATGATCATTAGGCGAATAGCTTTCACTCTTCAATGCTGAAACAAGGAGTGAAGGAGAGAATCTAATGGTCCGGTATTTTCTTTATATTGCACTTGAATGTTTGGGACAATTTCATGTTAGTTAGTCAACTATTTCAGCTTAAATTTGATCTTGTAAAATCACACACAACCCCCAACTTTTCAACCATTCTGCACTCATACAGTGTATTTCAAAACAGACACCTGTTTATCTTGCTTCCCTTCTTTTGCATATTCTTTCCATATGCTCAATAATTTACCTAATAATGAAAGATTTTCATTTCAGAAGAGAAAGGTAGGTATCAGTCTTTGATATCAAACACATAATACAAATCAATTGAGAAGTCTCACCATCACCCTATTTAACTACAGTGCTTTAGTTGTCAAAACTCATAAAATTAGTTGCTGAAACCATGTTATAATCTATTTGAACTCTTGAACGCTCTTGTATCCTGTTAGCTGTTAAATTTGGAAAACAAAAATCCAGAAGTAGTATTTAATTTGTTAGACTCAGACTGAATCTCTAGGTTGCGACCAAAAGATAAGCAACACCTTTCAGATATTCTACAATTTCGGATCCTCCAAGCTTCGAACTTCCAAAAACTCTATCCACAAAGGTAATTGGAACCTGGATATGACAATCACAAAACCAATAGTCAATAAACGTCAAACACTGAACAAACAGGAACTAACATAAAAATTACATGCTTCTAAAACAATCTCCTAACATAGTAATTCTGTTTGTTCATTTGTTCACTAAGCCACCAGAAGTGACAATCAGTTACTAAGTTATTCAGGAAGTTGATATGAAATAAGATGGCCAATGCAAATAACTGGTCGGATTCACAAAGAGAACTATTCAGCTAGATTCAAACTTCATTTAAGTACTAGGTGCCCGAGTTCACAAACATCCAAATATCATTGTAAAACAATTACATATGGTGAGCGTATAGCAGTTTTAAATATTAAAGAAAAACCAAAATATTGAATAAAGGAAGATAGATAGTTATGCAGAACGACAATA